AAACCACATATAGAGAAACCAACAATACACAAAATGATATGGATGATCGATACTAAGGCAATGAGAGTTAAGAATCTTTGCATGAGATATGCCATGACAGATGACTGGTCTGGATGGGATTCTAACCCATTACCTACAGGTAAAAAGCAACAAAGCTTGCATGGAAAAAGCTATTATTACTTCAATGTAGTACTGTTTTTGGTGATTTACAGCTGAGCTTATTTGAGTAGGTTATCCACAGCCGAATGAAGTAATGTGTCTTGCTCAAACGACACAACATGATAGCTGAACTAGGCTGGTTTGATGGTAGGACTCAAACCCGCATGTTTTTGGTTGTGAGTCTAGCATACTAACCACTGAGATACCATGGTTCCCTCCATATATTACTGCACCTACTAAGATGCACCAACAAACAAAAGTTTTATCAGTGTTTAGCTGAAACAAGTTTGATTAGTTGAAATGAAATAGGATTAATGATACAAAATATGTAACAAGACATTGGCTAAAAGTGCAAGCATCATAATCACCTAATTTTGGGTATAAATGAGTTACTCTCCTTGAAATGTGTTACAATATATATATATATATATATATATATATATATATATATATATATATATATATATATATATATATATATATATATATATATTTTCAATTAATGCTGGTAACAATGGGTCCAAGATACTGTATATGTAACAAATGAATACCTAAAAATAGAAAAGTCAAATATGCAATAAGTTAATTGTGACCTACTTTGGGTATATTCAAGTTACTCTTGTTGATATGCATTAATATACCTATTGAAAAAAGATGTAACTCGCATCTCTTTTCAATAATTTTTTAATTAGATATGGATTTAATTAACTGGCAAATGGATGAAGATATCAAACTATACCTGTCACATGGACACAAAGGGTGAATCTGACTATTGCTATAATGACATTGTTTGTAACTGGAATACAGTGAGTACAAGCAAAATGAGATGTCTTCACATTGATTCACTTGACAGTTCCTATATTTAAACAAACAATGCCTTTCTCATGAAGAAAAGGTTTATCTTCCATAGGCTGAACTTAGATGAACTTCTTTGACCATTTAAGACATGAATGATATATATGGGAGAGTAGATCATCAGTAAAACTATGGACAGATATAAATAAGACAGCAAGACATCAGTAATACCATGGACAGATATACATAGGACAGCAAACATCAGCAATACAATGGACAGATATACATGGGAAAGGAAGTCATCAGGGGCCCTGAGTGGCCGAGTGGTCTAAAGCGCTGTCCATTATGGATCACTGCCATCTCACCTCTGTCTGAGTGAGTTCAAGTCTAAGATTCGGCGAATGTGGATATGTGAGAAAGCTTGCCAGTAGCTTCTCGTGGGTCGGTGGTTCTTTCTGCGAATTTCCCGGTTACTTCCTCCACCATTAATACTGGCCACCATGTATAGCCTATCGTGTGCTAAAAAATGGCTTTAAGCCCCAGAACAACAACAACAGGAAGTCATTAGCAATACAATAGACATATACATGGGACAGCAAGACATCAGGAATACAATGGACATATATACAAGGGACAGCATAACATCAGTAATACTATGAACAGATATAAATTATATATTTGATACCAACTACTGTTCAATAAATTACAGTTTACGTGTCAAATGCCAACTAATGTTCAATAAATCAAATAGTCTGTATGGAACTGGTTACTGCACATTTATTATTTATTCCTGACTTTGCTGAATATTTTGAACTGGCATAAAAGACATTTAAAATGTGTCGCAAAGTATATTTTGTCCCTGCATATTATCTAGAATAATTAATGACTGTGTTAATTGGTTCCAGGAAGCAACCTGTGTGGCTCCCCAGCAATTTCAAGAAATGAAGTTTACATTTTGAAGCAAGCAAGAAGCTGGTATCTGCATATGTCTAGGTCTACCATTATACAATGGAATGGCAGGTCTGGATCTATGATTTTTGTTCTATAGGGAATAATATGAATTCATGTCAATAGCCTAGACCTGAATCAGTTAAAAATGTATGCAGCATGAGATATGAATGGTACATTTTTTATGCTATGTGTATGGTACAAAGATTAACACTTTACAAACTTTTGCATTTTTACAAAGGTGGGTACAAGAAACCCCTTCCATGTTGTTCCAAGCTTTTAGGTTCTTCAGTAAAAACAAATAAGAAAATTTTAACAATGAGGTGTGGATAGCATACAGATGACACATACATGGATACCCACACATATATGGATGCCATGCCAAGTTTTCATCAAGACCAGCTAGACAAAATGTAGTACTACCTCTATTGGCTTTTCCCGATCTTTACATGAACGAACTTCATTGTAAAGCTTGGCAGACTGGAGAGGAGCCAAATAGGATGTGTACTCAGTTGGGATACTTATACCATCCTCTGAAAATATGAAGAGGGGAAATGATGTACAAATAATACTTAAAAGAATTCATGCAGACATATAAGTTCCAAAGTTGATAAAATTTATTATGTTTAACAATGATCACATAAAAAATAAAAAAAACAATAAGACAACTTTTACTGAAGGTTTCTCCATTATACTATGTATAAACTTGGGCTAAAAAAAGGTACTTAATTCCTGTATGTCACAAGCCAGATTGGTGGTGCACAATGGGGTTGAGTTAATTGGCATCATACTCATGCGATCAATAAGAAATGAATGTAGCATTTCATTGAATGACATGTGGGAAATGAATAACAACATTCGGTGTCCAGTAAAAAAATTGCTCAAAACAAACATGCTGATATATACTCTGTCCAAATAAGTTTCATCATGTTTGTCACAGAGAACATTCTTTTTGCAGTGTGATGGAAAAAGTGTCCATCACAAAATTTGTACAGAATGACTACTGTCAACAGCTCAAAAAGAATACCTTAAACAGCAAAGTATATGTCCATCCATGTTTAATAGTCCTCAAGAGGCACTACTAGGCATGGTATTACTCACCAACTAATCTCCGTTACCTGGTTAGAATTTGTTGTGAAAGAATCAACCAACATCGATGCGCACAAAAACTGACACTGAACTGGGACAGGGCCGTTACAATCTGCCACATGTCTGGGACAATCTTTTAACATCGTTCACCATTCACTGAATGATGTTAACTGTCAGTAGAGATAAAATCAGTCTGCTGATGAAGTCCCAAGCATGAGGAAAAAGCATCGTGTTTTTTCTCTATATTGTTTGTGTATTGAACAGTTAAATATTTTCAAATAGGAAATAACATGCCGTTGCCATTTGCCCTGAGGTCAAAACTTACACATCATGGAACTTAGCCTATGGGTCATAGCTTGTAACTACTGAGACCCCCACCCTTACTGGATATGAATAGAACATGCACACATCCAACTGATACATGCTCTAGGGGTAGTCCTTACCATTTGTGACCTAACCAGCTTGATCAAACTTAAAACTGAAGGTCAAAACAAAGATTCAAGGGGACATGTATTATACAAGCACTAAATATATTGCAATGTAAATGGCTGATTTGATCTCAACAACCATGTTCAAAAATATAATATTCACCTTTTAAAAATCTTTGTGCTCCATCCAGGCATTCTGGGGACAATTCATTATCTCCAAATGAACCAAGCAACTCGCTGACTAGGATGTCTGCTTTCTCAGGTGCAATCCATTCTCTCATGTCACAGGATACAACTTCCACCTGTTCTCCCCACATCTCTTCTCGCAGATTCTCGAGTCTGATATGGAAATTGGGAATTGAATTCTGTACTTTTACAAATAAATTGCATTTTAACTGAAATAAAAGGTTCTGTCCGTTCAAAACCAAACACAAACATATCAGAAAAACATTTGCTCTATCACATCTTTATCAAAGTGTCTTCAAACCTGTTGGTTTTGCCTTTTTAGGTGCTAGAACTAGCTTTGCTATCCAAACAATTGGACACATTACTAATTAATCAATCTGGTACAAATTCTAGGTCCATTTTACAACTACAGATATTGGGAAATGACACAGCTCTTAAATTTCCCCATTTTTACCCAACCCTGTCTTTAACTTAAATGTCACCCACAAAAGTGATCTCTGTCTCATAAGTCCCCATAATAAGTAGTAGCCTGAAAAATATTTACAAGCCAAGGCTTTGATGATAATGATAATAATCATTAAAAAATTAAATATAAATAAATTTTAAAAATAACAACAATAATAATAAAAATAATAATAATAATAATAATAATAATAATAATAATAATAATAATAATAATAATACATTTTTATTTATTTTGCATTGGCCTTTAATACAGATAAGCTCAGGCTCACTTATTAGTAATAATTTTAGTGGCAGTTCAAGGAAGTAAGATAGTTTCATTATAAATGCAGATATTCAAAATTCACACCTTTCTATTCAGCAACATGATTTATTAACTTGGTACAATTTACAATGCAGGGCTTCCAAGAGAGGAACTCCTGTTCAAAATTAGAAGACTGGGGACAAAACTATGCAGGGATTTCAACAAAAAGCTTGTGTTCAAGTTAGTATAACATGCAATAAAGGGAGATAACTTCAATGCTGTGGAATGCTACAAGCCTAACTAATTCAAGGTATCAAATTAAAGTGCATGGTACTTGGTTGAAATCCTGTATTCCTTAGTAAAGTTATGCAACAAAAACAAGAGTGACTGACAATAAGGGGCCACAACTCTTCTAAACGATAATGCAAAATGCTGGAAATTAAAGCGATGAGATGTGATTATAATTTTTAACGTAGCTTTAACAATTTTTCAGTCTTATCGCTACGATGTCTGCAGTGTGACAGTTTAAAGTGATGTCTAGCACTAGGGCATCATGCTGCAGACATGAAGCATGATGTTTCATCCAGTCACATTATCCTGACACCTGGCCGACCAGTCTTAACACTAACCTCTTAATGTTAAGCGTCAAGCGAGGCAGCTATTAGTATTATTTTTGTAAGTCTTTGGTATGACTCGACCAGGGATCGAACCCAGGACCTCCCGCATCCAAGGCGGATGCTCTAACCACTAGAGCGGATCTGGAAATTAAATCCATTCAAGATCAGATCAGTATAAAGTGGCATCCTGCATTTGGTTGAATTCGAAAATACTTCCTCAAATAATGTTCCAGCAACCAGAATCCAGTAAAATAACCATAATTCACATAATATTTCATAAATTTTCTACTTTTACACACAGCCGATTTATAAAAATCATATAGTTTTTTCTTCTAAAGGTTTTTGTACACAAAATCTTGCTTTCTTACTGGAAAATTTTATTTATAATACAACCCAAGCTTGAAATTGGCAGATTTAAGTGTCTGAGAACTAAATACATATGTGAACATTTTACAAAAACAGCTGAAACAATGTTGATGTTTAATGAAAATGAAACATCATGTTTTTACTGCCTGATATATATTATACATATTTTAAATATGTTTTCACAACCAGAGTACAAAATGGAGGTACCAGTTACTTCAATAAATTGATATTGCTAAAGAATTCTAAGTCTTTTTGTAGAACTGAATCATCAGGTAGTGATTTTTCAATCATATTAAAACACTATGTCAGCATCCTTTAAACAGTTGTTGCTGTTGTTGTGGGGCTTAACGTCATTTTTCAGCACACGATAGGCTATACATGGCAGCCAGTATTAAAGGTGGAGGAAGAAACTGGGAAATCCGCAGAAAGAACCACCGACCCACGAGAAGCTACTGGCAATCTTTCTCACATATCCACATTTGCCAAATCTTAGATTCGAACACACGCAGACAGAGGTGTGATGGCAGTGATCCATAACGGAAAGCGCTTTAGTCCACTCTGCCACTCAGGGGGCCCCCCTTTAAACAGAGTTAAACCTGATGACTTATTTTAAAGGTTGTTTTTTATTTATAATGATGACATCATTTCTATTTTTGGTGTGAATAAAACAAGTACATTTACTGGTAAATACAAAAAAGGATACAAAGACAAATTAAACAAGAAAACAGCATGTTTAAAGCATCAGAACCAAGTTAATAAAGTTAATTTTAGCAGCAGTCAGTAGTATACAAAATGAAGAAGTCAAACCATTTAAAATTAATCAATTATGTATAGGTTGTTACAAGAAGAGTACAAGGGAAGAGTACTCTCACCAAAAATATATTAATAAAGAACTGATCGAGGATTATCAAATTCAAGGTGCCTCTAATCAAAGGTATGGTGGAATGTGCAAGTTAGTAGCAAATGTTTTCCGTATGACACAATTACATGTATTGAGATCACATAAACTTCCCTCAACAGAAAGCTTGTGTGGCCCGTCATGGTAATTTCCTAAGGTTTCATATATTTTATGTTGATTTTTTTTATCTTACATTTTTATACAACTTTTATTATTATAACTGTATAAGCACTTTTCTTTTTCACTACATTAAAAATTGCAACCTCATCATTTCACAAAAAGAGCATTGCAGATAATTTCATACTATGATGGTCATGTCATTCAAACAGACAAAACCAAAAATTTACCCAGTGCAATAACATCCCTTCATCAACTTACGTAACAACTGCATTTGGATTCTTCTCAACAGCATAAATTTTTCTGATCTTCCTTTGAGCCTGCGTAGCTGCAGTAAGTGAAGCCCTGACAAGGGGACCACGTCCAGCTCCTACCACCATCAACACGCTAAAACACAAATACATAAGTAGAGGTGAAACCAACTGAAATTTCCTATATTGGTAAGGCTAATCTATTTAAAAAAACTGCAAAATGGGGAATAGATTTTTCATGTTTTATTGGAAAAGAATAAAGGCAGATTCTACTTTATCCCCATTTTTTTGCATACAATCTGAAGACTCTTCTTTTCTCATACTACCCCTTCACCTCTTTAGGTTTAAATGCAATAGTCCTTACAAAAATGTTATTTTCAGGAGTTCCTGAAGAGCTGCATTTATTTCTTTCTCAGACTTAAGATTTATTAAATTATGAGGGTAAAGTATTATATAAAAGATTTTTTATGCCTCTTAATAAAGAGGCTATATATCAGCATTGCCAACAAAAAAAAAAACTAAAAAAAAAGATGTCTTCAGTGTGGCAATTTATGGTGATTTCTAGCACCAGGGCATCATGCCCCACCCAGTCACATTATCATGACACCACGGCAACCAATCCTAACACTAACCTCTTAATGCTAAGCTCCAAGTGAGGAAGCTGCAAGTACCATTTTTTAAGTCGCTGGTATGACTTAGCTGGTTTCAAAACCGCAACCTCCCACGTCCGATGCAAACGCTCTCGCCACTTAGGCCAAGAGGTAGGTGGTAAGTCTGAATGCCATCAAACATTACGACTGCCTCATTTTCATAACATAATATATAATGGGAATAATTTTATTATATATTTATTCTCAAACTTACATATCCTTGGTGTCCTTTTCTTCTGGTTTTATTTTATCCAACAAAGCACAGAATATAGCCTGAAAAAAACAATTCTCAGATATAAACATTTCCACTTTTCTGTCAAATAGTCATCAGAAATAAAGTCTCATTTCTCTATCAGACATAAACAGCCGACTTCTCATCTGTCCAATAATCAGAAATAAACAGTCCACCTTTATCAGAAATAAGCAATCCTATTTCTCATTCTGTCAAGTAGTCTTCAGAAATAAATAGTCCTATTTCCCAATCTGTCAAGTAGTCTTTAAAATTAAACAGTCCTATGGTCACATTTCTGTCAAGCAGTCTTTAAAAATAAATCCATTGTCTCTGTCTGTCAAGTAGTCTTCAGAAAAAGGTCCAATTTCTCTATTTTTCAAGTAGTCTTCAGTAAACAAACTTTCAGTCTTCAACAAACAAATTTTTAAATAAATTATGTTTCTCCAAGAATATTTTATCCAATCAAATTATATTAGGAATATTAGCCTACTACCTCGTGAATCCAGCTCTACTAAAAGACAAATAAATCATATTCCATCTACTTTTTATTTAAACGAAGGGCAGTAACTCTTGTCCATTACCTCCCTTTATACCACTAGGTGTTGCCAGTTTTTAACTGAACAAGATACTAGTGAGGATGCTTGCATGGTGAGGTGGTTGGGAGGGTTTGGATCGAGTATAAAGTATCCGAGACATAATTAAATTTAAAATTTTCTTCCTTCTTTGAATACAATCTGCATCACATTATCATGATAGGAAAATAAAAGGAGGGGATGCTGAGCATCCAACCTTTACCTCATGTATCTTTCTGGGAATGAATAGCTGGATCCCCTTGTGACCCATTCTCTAATGACACAAGCAACAGCCTGGACCCCTTGACCTAGGACTCTTATTGATGGTTGAATAGACGAAACTAAACTTTTACCTACAAAAGTTTCACTGGCAAATCCAGCAAAGCTAACAGACTGTGTTGATTGGTCTAGTTGGGTCTGGTAACCATCTGTACAGCTACCACCTGCCCTAAAAGATTCAAAGTTTGTCTCCGTGACGTTAAATTACTGAGGAAAAACTCCAGAAGTTTGACTTTGCATGCCATCCAACAGCTTCTACAATATCTCAGATCTAACTGCTACATTCAAATGTGAAGCTTGCAGAGATGGCTCTAATCTCATGAGCAATAATCATTGTGAAGCATCTCTAACATTTGGAAGATCTCTGAGCATGCAGAGTGTAGAACCCACTTCAGCCACAAAACAAGGGCTTGAGGGGTTATACCTAATACAACATTGCCCATGATATCAGAATGTGTCCTATATATAGATCAGTAGCCTTTGATGAAGATCAGTAACAACTGTTTTTCCTCAAAGAAACTGAGAAAAAAGTTGGAAAGTTGTGGGATTAAGGCACTCAAAGCGATGACATGATGGTTCTGACACCAGTCCCTAAACACACACAGTACTTCCCCTTTTAAGCCTTCATAGGGGATTGCCTTCTTGCTCTCAAGATTATCTCCACAATCAAAAGTTTAAATTATTTGCCTCACAAAGCTGTCCTGATAAAAGCTAAGTGTGTAGAAGAAGATGGTCTGGACCAGGATGGAACACCCTTGACCTTGGTTGTATTCGGAGAGTTGGGTTGGCCGAGAGATTCCTGGGTAAATTTATCAACAAATTGAGTAAATTTGTGAACCAGGATTTGCCCCATCTGAGCGGGGTGATCAGAATCACCATGCATTTGTTAACCCGTAACTTTTTGATTATTTTTTGGCATCAGAACTCGGAGAGGGTAGGCAAAGGTCCACAACCCCTCATGACTAACAGCAGGGATGATCAACTAATGTGTGATCAGGATGGCTTGATTAAGATGACTTGAAAAAAGGCATCAATGAGTCAGAAATGACTTCTATAAGGGGCACATAAAAAAGCAACCAAGTGGGATCAGGTCTGCCTTGCTCTGAATTGACTCTGTTGCTAAAACTCTCTCACTGAAATCCAAGTTATGATACTAGACAAGTTTGACGATTCTGGTGACACAAACATTTGAAAGCCACACCAAATTCTGGTTGGTTAAAAACTTCATACCCAAATGGATGGACATAGGTCTGACTTTTCCCAGTTCACTAGAAAGCGTAGATGAGCTATTAGATCATTCCTGCCTTGAAGAAGAATAGAATTTACCACATGCTTCTGTCAGATGTCGTCCAGGTACACTGCCATCATGGTAGATGACATCAACTGGAACTGGGAGATGACACAAGTAATTTCATTAGGTGGAATCCAGGGGTTGATGTTGAGGCCACTGGGAAGAATGGTGAATTGACAGACAGCATCATAGTAAGCAAAATAGAGTAACTTGCAGAAGACAGGGTGGATAGGGACATAAAAGCATGCATCAGATCAAGATTGACTGCATACTCGCCCTGTTTGACATGGAGGTGGTATACATGCCAACCCACCATGAGGAAAAAGAGGAATCCACGTCGACAAAAAGAGTAATCCAAGCAGAAAAAAAAAGTAATCCACATATAATGTGCTAAAACTTCAATGAACAATTATTTTTTTCATCCCTTCAGTCTTGTAACATCCTTTACTACTTCAAGTTTTCAGATGTAGCACTTTTAGCTTTAGAAAGCAACA